TGTTGTTCACGAAATAGAGTGGGACGACAGCGCTGGTGGAACCGCAGGAGGTTGATTGTTGTCAGTAATGTTTCGGCGTTCGAGTTTCTGGGAGTAGTTGCAACTGGCCTAGGGTGTGTTTGGGCGCTTGGTCAGGTCAAGACCTCCGTACTACTTCAGGTCTTTATAGACGACGAGTTAGTCGAGATATCGACTTAATAAACGGCTCCATCATGACAAACCTATACATCAAAGCATTGTGAAAGATTATGTGACATGCCCAAGTTTCAAGCAGAACGAACGCGAAAATACTCGTTGTGTCAAAGAAAAGAATTTGGGGTTGCTTCATCGCTGGAAAGCCTTAACGAGTTGATGCTTAAGAGCTTTCTTCGATCTCCTTTACCTCTTTGGTGTCATCTTTGGAAGAGGGGCGGAGGTAGTGTAGTTCTCACACGCGCGGTCGCGGGTTCGAATCCCTGTTCAATATCCGCCAAGACCAGCCAAGCCTTCCATCCTTCCGGAGCGGTTGATTGGTCGTGGACTTGTCTGGGAGGATAAAAGCTTTGACTTGTACATCGGCTTGCCACCGCAAGTCATATTATAGGCCACATACGCATTCAACACGCCACTACGATTTTGAATGGAAGTCAAATGCGTGGGCGCAACCCTCAGACGGGATTGATTAACGCCCCAAAACTTTATCCTTTACTTTATCCTTATCTTTGGTAACCGCTCACATCATTCGGCATGCCATTTAATGAAAGTCTATTGATCGAAAATGAATTTCCTTCTTTTGAACAGCCTGTTGTTGAGCAGTGCTTAGCAGAGCCTGCAAAAGATACGTGTGCTAAAGTTTTTTTATTCAGAGCATTGGCAAGGTTTTGAACGATACTAGCAAGGTCAGATCAGTAGTAGTCAGAAGTCTAATGGAATATGTAAGTGATATTTTCATTGACCTTTTTAGCATTTTGACTTCAATAAAGCCTATTTCAAGCCAATGGCGTTTGCAATGTTCGCATTATGGGTGCTTCTCGCCGTATTTGTATTAATGTCGATAGGCTTACACTTCGCTTACAGACTTCGACATCCTTGGAAGGTTAGGATAAGCCTTATCACCTCAATACTTTTGTTATTTTTTACCGAAGTCTCACTTGGGCTCCATAGTCTTACCCATCTCAAAAGGATAGAGGGAATACCGGAGCGGACTGGACCGGATTGGTAATCTGCTCCCCGAATCACAACATCCACTGACTTTCTAATCTACTCGGATTCTAACTGTACGCTTTTTTTTTCATGGGAACAATGGCATATGGTGAATGTCACGCTGGCCGCTTCCGCGAGACTAGGTTGTCCAATGCAGTAGCCTCGATTGGTTCCCGTTTTCTTTTCCCTGTCAGGATTTACGCTCTTCCCAGACCGGTCGAGGCCGAAACCACAGCCATAGGAATACCGCGATTCGTTGGATTCTCAATCTTCCCCACTCGCGTATCACGACTTCTCAATCAGGCAGTTCTTATAATTTACTATGATTTTGAAATGTCAGACCCTCTAGACTTTTGCCCTTTGGTATTTAAAAACTATGAGAATAACGATCTTTCCTGGGAGGAGCTTCAAAACTACTAGGTTAAGAAAAGACTATTTAGAGCAGGCGGCCCAGTGGTCAAAGACTGCTCTGGGCTGCATTGTCGTTCGGGCTCTGCTTCATAACGTCACTCATTGGTCTGACGCTCTACTCTATTAGCCTCTTTCGAGTCCAAGAAGGTGTTGAAGATTTGCCGTTGCAGCTGAGAAGAACTACTTATGGTGAGTTCTACTCGCACATTATAATATTTTTGGGTGCGCTGGTTTAATTAGGTCGGAGGAGTAGGATGTGTAAATGAAGCACAACCAACTTTCAATCACCTGAAGAGTAGCTAGATAATGATTCTAAAGCGCATTTGCCGTCAGTTTCCACCACAGCTCCTTTTCCACTTTATTGCGGCATAAAATCAGTTCCACCATCTATAAAGCCACACTTATAAACAGTTAATGTTCCGATATAAGCAGAAAGAACTCATCCAAAGCTATCGCCTTTTAGTTGCTCACAGTGATCAGTGAGTAGGCGATATATTATTGCTTTAGTTGCGCTCTTCTGATGTTAGATGCTACACAAGCAAAAATTCTTCTTCATGATAAAATTATTCAAAAAAAAATCCCCAATAAACATCACACTTCGAGACGTCGCACCATCGATCACCTACTCTTATGCGAAGCCTGATCGACTCGCCTCCACGGACGAAAACTTGCGTACAGAAATAATGAGGCGATGGAGAAACACATGAGCTGCAATGGGAAACATCAATAAGGCTGCTAAGCTCGTTCTGACAAGAAATTCCAGCTTAATGTTCGACTCTTCAATATTGCCCGCACTCTGCTACGCATACGAGATGTGGGAGGAAAACGACAGTGAAGATGACTCGCGCACAAAGGGTGCTGGAGTGGGCATTGCCGCAAAGAAGGCAGAGAAGGCGCCAGATAAGCTGCAACTTGCGCAACACAGGCGTTCAAGTCGCTGCGGTGTATACGTTGGCACAATGAAACGATATGGCAGACACGTGGTCATATTCACGGAAGTTCGTTGAAGATTCGTATTATATTCTGGTACCCATGCGACGTCAAGCGCACCTAATGGCGAAACTCCATAACGAAACTTCAGAAGCTTTGCCAATGCTGGTTCCAAACCGCTGAGAGACGGAGGAAAGCAGGTGCTCGCAGGTCGCAAATTATTGGCCGGAAACGAGCATCCAAGTATCCTTGTCAAATTCAATAGAATATACACACTGCTCTGTATAATTATAAGTCCACCTGAAGGTTGGACGTGATGTAGTGACAAGTGGCGCATTGTCTCACACACATGGGCACGAGTTCAAACCTCGGATCGATATTTGCCTAGGCCAACCGAGCTTTCCATTTCTCAAAAGTCGGCCGTTCGGTGTCAGTCTCGTCTCGGACGATAAAAGCACTGGCTTGTTCATCGGCTGGCCACCAAAGTCATTGTGTAAGCCAGACATGCATTAAGTACGTCACTACGATTCTTAATGAAAGTCGAATGCGGAGACGCATCCCTCAAATGAGGTTGATTCACGCTTTAAGACTTGAACCCTAATCGATGAGTTATGCTGGAAAAAGTGTCTACCATAAATGTGTTTTGGGTATGAACACCAGCTATTTGTTTGTAACAAACGTATTCTTCTTAAGAGACTTTCCTCATCAGAAACATCCCATTATGAGAATTTTCACGAAATTTCCAGTTGGGCTTATATATTGCTAGCCAGCTAAGATAGTTTGATTGATCAGAAAGAGGAGGCGCCAATTTACGAATTAGAATAAAGTAAGAGCGAAAAGAGGATAATTACAATGCAACGGTCCAACGATTTTTTTATCTTGAGGTTTCGAGAGGAAGGGTAGTAGTAGCTGATACTGAATTATGATGTGGAATTCGAGGAAAATTCATTCATTTATTTATTTATTTGGTGCACGCGTAGGTGCGCGAACTACAATTGCATGATCACATTAATTCAACAACCTGCGATCAAGTGAAAGTAAAACATGGTTCAAAACAAAAGGTAGGAAGATCTCCAGTCAGATGTGTAGGAGCAAAAAAAACGAACCGAAGCAGAAGTGCACTGCAGAAAGTTTAGATAGGTAATAAGAGCTGTATGGTAGTTGGAGAGCAAAATCACTCTGCATTGTTCTGACCGTCTTTCGCAAATAATTTCAGAATGTCAGGCTATTATTAGAGGTCTGTGAAATCAGAAAAAAAGAAAAAACAGGCAGAACGATGGACTTGGACTGCTTTTTGTTTTAGCTCCCTTAGTTTTCCTTCATTGCATTGAATCTATTCGCAGGTATAATGTCCTTTACAAACGCTTTGGACTCGCGCGCCGGCTGCCAACTCGGAAACATTTATGATTATCGGCTCAACACAATCACTTATGTACAATCGGAAGTTAGGAAAGCACTAGAGAACAACAAATTAATAGCATGGTTTCGAGCCGATGCGTTGAAACCTGTAAGTGTTCTGCGGTCGAAATTTTCATGATTTTGAAATTGTCCGCGTTCTCCAAATGTGCTGACGAGAAGATTTAGTCGGCTTCAAATAGTACATCTGAAATATCTTCTCGCCGGTATCTTTCTTGAATACTGCTGTTTCTGTACTCCTCAGATGGAAAAAAAATACGAAGGATAACGATATCCAATAAGGGAGGGAAACTCCTGACCGAAAAAGATCATGGCTTTTCCTATCGCTGGTGAAACTCTGGAACTTCAGAAAGCTGTCGTATGAATTTTTCCACGAACTTTGCCAGAGGCGACAAAGTTTCAGTGTGGATGTACCGCTTCAAAACCACAGTGGTTTTAAGTAACGTAAGGAAGGAATGAGGTTGCAGTGCCTCTGTCCAAAGATGCAGCTTTGTCCCGTCCCGCTACCTGGAAGTCTATCTGCCCACGTTCGCAGAGTATGGATCGCTTGCAGCGCGGAACGAGAGTATCATGAAGTATCAAGAAGTATCATGTTCGTCTCGTGTACTTCTGTAATCAGTGTCAGTAATACATTAGGAAAATATCTGCCATGAATTTCGCAATAGTCCAGTTTTTTTGAATGTTCTGGATGTCTCCGGGGAGTTGTTATATAGGGACATCACTTTTAAGCGCAAAGCATATGTTGATCTTCCCTCCTTGTTCATTTAATCATATAACGACTGAAACGTCTACTCATATCTAACACGAACCCCTTTATTAATTCGATATAGTTGCCATTGGTGTGATATTTAGGTTGATCTAATCCAATCATTTAGCTTATGCCGGACTATTATGCTCCCTTCTTTCATGCTATACAGAGCTGCCGGAGAAACAGAACTTCTCCACGAATTCCCACGGCCTGCGGCAGCGGTTCCTTCCATTGGGAATTCAAATCTTTCCCTTCATAGCGCGGGATCGCATGCGACGGGCGCGGCCACGCCTTTCGGGGGGAAGAAGCCGGACCCAGAGCTGCCGCATTATCCGGGTCTACTTTTCTGAACCAGGCTAAAGTGTCAAGGAAACGAGCCTGGACCTAGACCTCCGTCGTACTTCATGCTACATGGCGGTTCAATAACAACGTCGTTGATCATCAGGCTCACTAATGAGAAGCAAATAAAATTTGATTCTTGAATCTTTCACTTCCTTTTCCAGAGGTTGAATAATATTTCTATAACCGAGGACAACTTGTCATTTCTTAAGATCCAACTGAAAAAAGTTCGAAACGAGGAATTCCGAAATGCCATCGAACCCATCCTGGTGAGCATGATTTCATTCGAAATATTTTATCGTTAGCAGTTATTTTGATATTAAATTTGCAGGAAAAGCTTGGTGAAGCAGTGCAGAATATCAGAGTAGTCTTTTCTAGCCTTATAGACTTTGATGAAATGGTAATGTTTTAGCGTTTTAGCGTCTATTTCGTTCATGAAATAATTGACGAATAACATGTTTCTCTTTTTTTTAGTTAAATAATGCACTGAAGGATTTGTACTGGGACGTAAACAATGGGATGGAAGCGATAATGAATTATGGTGACATATTTCACGACGTTTGTTTTAATTCGCATTACAAATTTCAGAAAAGTTTCTGAAGACCTTCAGTAGCGTGGTTTATTTAAGCGCACAAATCATCAAAAATGAATCCTGGAGAAGAAAGGAAGTTTTGGAGACACGTCGAGTCGAAAAACGACCTAGATAGGGCGTGATAAGGACCCTAAAATTTTCTTAGCCGATGTACATATACAAGGTCGACGAGTTCCTAAGCGTTGTAAAAGATTTAGAGGTTGCGCCACATTCGTACCGGGACCCACCCCTTGCGCGCAGGTTGCTTACTACAACCAGCTGTATGCACTGACATTTGAACTGCTCGCTAGATTTCTCTGAGTTCACCAATTTTCGCTGCTCTTCACCACTTTTGCCCTGTTATGGACTATTACTTCCATTATTCGTCTTAAAGCAGATACCCCAAAATTATCGTGAATAGGGTTTTCCTGTAATCAAAAACGTCTCGCTGCATTTGCCTTAATTTGCCTCAACTTTTACGACTTTTCTCAAGAAATCGTCATAATCGTCATAATATTAACACTTTCAGGCAATAATGTTCGTGAATGAGTCTACAATACGTGTGCTAGAAGAAATCTCCGATGTCGTTTCTGATGAGGTTTGTTTGACTACCTCGTTAATCCGATTAATTTGAGCGTTAGAGAAGGTACGTCACAGTACTTCATGGAATACCAGACTAAATAATAGTTGGAAGGAAAGTCCTGCAACAAAATGAAGGGCTTTTTCAAATCGTTTCTGGAATTTTCCAGGCCAATCAAATTTGGAAATATATTTACCAGAGAGGTCAACAACCTCCTATTATCCTTTGAGTTAATCGCTGATGCCTTTTATCCAGGAGTGAGGAAGCTGTGACTCAAA